CTATCCCGCTCCACTCTTTTGCTTATGTTAGGCCGAAATGAATTTTTTTTAAAATTTTGGCTGATGAATAATGTGCAACCATTGCCCGTCTTAGACATTGAAAAAAATATATTTTCAAGCAACGCTTTCCCCTCAATATTTTCCCGCAAACGCTTTCCCTCCATATGTTCCGCCACCCGTTTCCCGCCAACCCCTTCCCGCCATATCTTCCTGCCACCCGTTTCCCGCCATATGTTCCCGCCAACCCTTTCCCTCCATACCGCAGTCGTTCTTTCCCGCCATTTTATCCTCTTTACCTATAAAACCCCCTTCAGACGGAGGTGGATAAGCATTCGAGTGTAGTGTGGTCGAGATGTCCCATTATGCTTTTGATCGTAGTTTTCACCCTGGGATGAGTAGCACTCTTCTGAGGCTAGCTACCGATTTCAGGATGGACAATAGGATAGTTCCATGGGATGATCTCACCGGTAGTGACACCATAATGAATGAGTTGGCTCACCAATTACGTAGGTCTAGGTGGCCTGAAAGGACCTATGAGGAGGTACGTAAAGAACTTCTTAGGTTGGATGTAAGGTGGAAGAAGGTTGTGGAGCCGAAGAGTGAAACTTTTAGAAGGACTGCAGAAAACCATCCATTTTTATGGACTGAGGAGAGCGAGGACGAAGATGATATCTTCATGCCGCCGCTTCCGGGTTCTGCATCGTCAAAGGGCAAGAGTTCTGCATCGTCCAAGGGCAAGAGTACTGCATCCTCGAAGGGCAAGAGTTCTTCATCGTCCAAGGGTAAGAGTTCTGCATCCTCGAAGGGCAAGAGTTCTGCATCGACGGAGGATGACGATGATGCCTTCATGTAGTTTTTAAGCTGTATTCCAGTTGTACCGTTTAATTCAGATGTACTTGCATTATTAGTTTGTACTCTCTTATTGTAAGGCATTATGTTCTATCTTAATTTTATTTTATAGTTGTTGCACGATGCTCGATAATTAGTGGAGGGAAAGAAAATGCCACTACTTTATTCTAAAACTATATATTTTTTCCATCACGACAAGGTACAATTGAAAATAAGATACAACACGACAAGGTACAACTGAAAATAAGATACATCGTAGAATTTAAATAAAGCTACATTTAACTACTGAAATGAAGCTACATTAAACTGCAGAAATAAAGATACAAATGATTGCGAAATTTAAAATACTACCACAGGAATCTACTGAGTCCAACGTGGATATTTTCCTTTTCCATCGCCAGCTTCTTCTGCTGCCTTGGCCTGACGAGCCCTTTCTTTCTTTCTCTACCTCTCCGCCTCACGAGCCTCCTTTCGCTGTCGTTCCTGCTCCTCCATGCGACGAGCCTCTTCCCTGTTTTTCTTTCTCATTTCCTCAAAAAACATGGTGTTGCTCCGCATAGTATTCTTTTAACTCTCTCTCTTGCTCTGCTTTCTCCTCAGCTTCCGTCTTCTCGCGTCGCTCTTCCGCAAATAAACTATTCCACACACGGCGACTTCTTTCACGAATCTCAGTCACTGCCCAAGCCGGCTTCTCCGTGTCAATCCAACGATAGTACATGCACAGAGGCGGAGGAGACTACAACAAGAAACAATAATGTTACTAAAGAATCAATGAAAATACCAACAATATCTATTCGTGATGGTTAAACCATACCGGAGGCTTGTCGTACTCTGAAATAGCTACGACAGGATCTTCCTCATAATTGGCGCACATGAAAAACTTCATGCCCAACCAATCTGAAAAATCCGTCACCTCCTTCACCTTGCAAAGATCGCCACACCAACACCGCAGGACTGCCACCCCAGGAGGCAAACTTGCAGTCTTCATTTTCCTCAGCCTAATGCTTTGATCTGAACAAGGCAAACTCATATCGACTGAAAAAAATGTGTACACACTTTGCGCACTGGCGATTTCTAGGATGGCTGGACGAGAGCCTCGGTGTCTTCTTTTATAGGCTCAGACGATTAATGATGGCGAGAAAATAAGCGAGAACAGAGGAAATTAGGCGGGATATTTTAGGATCCCTGTAGTGTCGGCACTACAGAACCAAAAGCAGGCATCAGTGTCCATATCCCCGCGCGGAAATCACGCTCTTGGGTGCTGTCACCTCACCTGCAGCAGCAATTTTCAAAGCATGGGAATGAGCGCCATTTGCCACAGTTCTCATGTCGGTCACACTGCAGACCCACACTGCAAGGAATCATCCCAGTTTGCAACAGCGAGCCCGTGAAATTAGCACACCGCATCGGATTCCCGCTCAATCATGAAAATCAGCATCACTAGCAACAAGCAATCACATACACGTGGGAATCAACGCCATTTACTACAGTGCTCATGTCGGCCCAGGAATCAGCGCGCGCATGCAGCAACAGCCGCTTGCGCTAGTGGCGGCGGGTCCCACGCCTCGGCAACCGAGCAGCACCAGCTGTCGGCCAGCACTGTCAGCCAGGTGAGGCCGCCTCAGGCTGTGGCGGCGAGGCCCACTGGCGGGGCCCGCTCGCAGCAGGGCCTGTCGACCAGGCAGCGACCGCGCCAGGGCTGGCCGCCTCGCCCGATGGCGGCGGGGCCCACCTGGCCCGCCCCGTTCCGTCGCGCCGCGATGCACTGTGGGGAATCCGTTCGGCTGGGGTGGCCGCCTCCTGCGGTGGCGGCAGGGCCCTCCACCTACTGGCGTGGCGGCAGGTGGCACGTGTCGCCTGCCGCCACCGCTGAGGGGGTCCTTTTTGTCAAATTGATCCAGAGATAGTCTCTTTTGTCAATTCATCTCGGTAGGGGGTCCTTTTGGACAAAAAAATCTAGCACGCTAAACATGTGCAGGACCGTTTGCCGCTCTTATTACATGCTGAATTAGAAAGGATGAAAAATTAAGAGAAAGCTCTCTAATTTCTGCGAAGATAGGTGCTACAATCGAGCGATCTTCGTAGCGATTGTTCCAGAGGTTAACTGCCTCTAGACACTCAGTCTCCAGGGTCACCTCTGTGAAGCCCCTCAGACTGGAAAAGATCATGCCCTCTTTCATGGCTTGAACTTCAGCGATCAGTGGGTCCGAGACCCCCATGTATGGCTTGCACCAAGCTCTCAAGAAGGCCGAACACGATCTGGCTACACCTCCAATGCCCGCTATGCCGTCAATAGAGTTGATCAAGGCATCCGTGTTGATCTTGATGATTTTTCCATCGGGCGGTCGCCAGCCATAGTCTGGTAGGAAGGCAGTATGCTGCCTAGGGAGTTCTAGCAGCGCTAGATCTTCTCTGGTTCGTCTCACCCATCTAGCCGGGTCGATCTTCACTTCATCATGTATCCACCTATTGCGTGACATCCAAATGGACCACATAAAAAGTGATGATTGTTGGGTTTAGTCCCACATCGGTTGTGGGGGGAGAAATAACACGACTTATAAGGGCGGGGGTGTCCCCTCCTAACAGGCTAGTCTTTTGGGGGGAGAGGGCCCAAGGCCTGTCATAAGTCGGTGTTGCTCTCCGGTTGGGTCTGGTTGACGCATGTCGGTCGGAATCGCTGGTGATAGCGGACCCGGGATTGCGTAACAATTGGTATCAAAGCCCAGGTGCCCGGAATGAATCTCAGTAGACTCATGGGTGGTTGGTCATGGTTGGTGGGCTGGAAACGCTGGTGTTAGCGGGCCCATGGATGACCGATGTGTGAGGGAGAGATTGTTGGGTTTAGTCCCACATCGGTTGTGGGGGGAGAAATAACACGACTTATAAGGGCGGGGGTGTCCCCTCCTAACAGGCTAGTCTTTTGGGGGGAGAGGGCCCAAGGCCTGTCATAAGTCGGTGTTGCTCTCCGGTTGGGTCTGGTTGACGCATGTCGGTCGGAAACGCTGGTGATAGCGGACCCGGAATTGCGTAACAATGATTGTGGCGCGGTCTTTCTCCGAGAACCGCTGCTCACATAAGATATCTCTTGCCCAAGTGTTTGGATGAAGTCGGGGAAGAGAAACTTCAAATAAAAGTCGAGCTTCCTCCCAGAACCGGCGGGCATGAGGACAATGGATGAGGTCATGCATGCGATCTTCCTCCATTGCCAAGCAAATCTTGCACGTACTCACTTCCTTTATATGTCTCCGTTTTAGGGTGCATTCATCAAGAATTATGCCCCTAATGACTCGCCACCAAAAGACCCTTACCTTGGGCACAACCTTGAGTTTCCAAAGAGAACTCCACATCTGTTGTTCAGTCGTTGATGGTCCTGTTACCTGCCCTTTCTCTAGAGTTGCATGCTCTTTCTGATTCACGAGAGCACGGTAAGCCGATTTAACAGAGTATGTTCCTGAGGTCTCATACGCCGAAGCAAGAAAATCCTCACCTCCACCCTGCCGGATTGGAATGTCCATTTCTCTACGCCCCTTCTTCCCATATGTGGTTTTTTAGGGTGTCTTCCGGGGTAACCGTCCGTACATTAACACTCATAAACCATTAAATAACGGCCATGTCAAATAGCGGCACCTTTCGCGGGCTATAGCTAGGCGCACTATTTTGTAACTTTATTAGAAGTATGTATGTGAATATCATTTAGCGGCACGATGTTCAAGTCGCTATAGCTGGCTACTTGAAACTTTGCCGTAGACCCTTTGCCTCGTCTCGACCGGCGACACCGTGGTTAGCTACATCGTCGCTATCTCCGTCTCAGTCCCGCCTCACCAACGACGGAGACGCCGCATCCGATTCACTGCCTCCACCCCCTTCTTCAACGAAATTGGCCGACGCCGATTCAAATTTCAGGCAACTGACCATCAACAAACACGTAAAACAAATTTATGCTTCACTGTCAATGTCCTAACAAAAGTGTTTGGCCAGGGATGATCTTACAGAAAACAAGAGGAACAACCACGTACATGATCTGAGCATCTGAAAAAAATATCTAGCGCTAGTATCCCGATAATGTACAGCTACTAGCCAACGTCAGTACGTACAAAACGCCCGGACGTGGTCAAGTCAAGCCATGCGTGGAGACGCCGAGATAGAGGAAGCTAACACGTCTCCGGTATGGTTGCGAGACGGGGCCTCCACGCAACCTCGCACGGCGGGCTCAACACGCCGCCGGCGAGGACCTCCCCGTTCCTGGATTCACTCTCCGCGGCGGCCTGCTCCTCCAGCCTCGCCATGAACTCCGCCGCCTCCTTCCTCGTCATCAGCACCTTCAACCGCACCCCGCCGTCCTCCACGCGGCACTCCGGCCACGCCACCTCCTTCGCCTCCTCGACGCCGTATTGATCCGCCCTGGCGACGGTGTCCATGGTCGCCGCCGGCCGCTCTTTCCTCTTCACCATCTTGGCAGCTCCGGCAACGGTGGCGTCCACCACCCTGGTTTCCTTGCACATCCGTGGCAGCGGCAGGACGTTGCCCATGTTTGCGCAACCAAAGTCGAGTGCTAGAGAGTGAGGAGGAGGTGCTGGCGACGTTCGTGTGTGTTTGTTATTATATAGGGATTGGTCGAGGCGCTGAGGTGGAGGAGACGAGGTGGCAGAGCAGATGAGACACGGAGGCGGGCCAAGGAGACTCGTTCAAAGATGAGGCGTCAAGTGTCACCAGCGCAGCAATCGCGAGATGATTTCGTGGCCTGCGTGCAGTGAGGGCCGGGCGAAAAATATAGCGCTGGTCAAGCACGGCGTAGAATCGATCAAGAATGGATGGTAATGTGTTCGTGTTACGGTATTGTTAGTTTTGAATCTACCTATGTATGTATTCAGGGCTTCTGCCCTCTGGTCAAAATGTTTTGTTGGCCAAGATGAGAATTGGACACTCGAGCAGAGGACTTTAACTAATTTTGTCTTCATCAGATGGCACTGCCATGTTCTAGATCAACCCCCGCCCCTATAGTTAGTTTTTCTAGAACTAGGTGACTGCCCGTGCTTTGCGACGAGAGAACACTTATGAATGTATGCATTATATTTTGGCCGACCCTTAGGCGCCGGCTAACCGGCCCAAGCGCCAGATCGTTTGCCTCCTCGGCCATTGGATGCATGTTTTTGTCCCGTCTGCGCTTTTTCCTTCCCCTCTCCCTTCCCCTACAAGAACACATGGCATGGACGTAGACACTCCCCAGTCCTTCGGACCCCAGGTGCAATAGGACATGCCCTGCTCGCAGCCTCGCTGGCGCCGTCCGCCGCGGCCCCCGCATTGGTCGCATGTGCCCACCGCAACGGCACTCTATCCCACACCACCTCGCCCACAACAGTCCACCTTTGCAGATCCCCTTCCCCTAAAACCGTCTATTGTAGCTCCCCATTTGTCGGTTGCGGCTCCATGCAGTACGGTTCTAGGTTTTCGCCGTCGAAGGGTCACCTCCAGCCACAACTAGTTGTAGCTTCTCTAAAATCTCCGATTCTTTGATCCATTGTTGCAGCTTCTCCAATTGCCAATTCGAGCTCCGTGCTTCATGTCTGCAACTTCTCCCCAATCGTTGATTCCGGCTCCGTGATCCATGGTTGCAGCTTCTCCAATCGCCGATTCCAGCTATGTACTCTACGGTTACAGCCGATTCCAGCTCCGTGCTCCACGGTTGCAGCTCTGCTATTGATGGTGGCCGTTGGATGCAACTTTGCCAACCGACGGTTGGAGCTCCACATGTTTCTAGGTTCGGATCACTAAGCCACCTGTATAAGCCTTGGACCTTATGCAAAAGAAGTTATTTTTTGAGAAACACATCTTTTAGCAATTTTGAGCAACACGACACACTTTCTTTTGGAAATCGTACACAACACATTATTTTGTTCTTTAGTTATATCTATAATAATACTAACTAGTGCCCGATGAGCCCGAATAGCGCC